CCAACCCGATTCTGTTTTTACAGTTTCTACGGGCATTTTTGGCTCAGACTACGGTCTCGGAAAACCCACATAAAACTCGACCTTGTGCCACATCTTTCCCTCGTGGTGTGGGGCAAGTAAATATCGAATCGAGTCGATCCGATAGTAGTTCACTCCAAACCAGACTGACAGTCATACTAACACCTTCCACATCTTGTATTATTATTTCGTCTAATATACCCTTGTTATTTCTACTCTTGTGTTCGTGTTGTTCTTCCTTGATCCTAACCTGGACCATAACAGTATTTTAACTTATTGGCCAACTTAGGAACTGTTTCTTTGTTTCTTGTAAGTTTTGTTAAACTTTCTATGTATTGAATTAATTTTACATCATTTCAAGCTAGAGGATAATGCCACTAAGATGCAAGGGGTTATGAAAAAAAAAGATTCGACTAAGTACAAAGGAAAATATATGAATTACTTTCAGGAAGACAACTGACGATAGTTGACTTTGAATTTAAATTGAATTGAATTAATTCCGGCTATAATTCTAGGAATCGAAAAACAGCAGAATTTAGTCAAATAAATCCTGGGCAATGATTTTTTAGGCATTCGATAACACATCCCAAATGAATCCATTAATATAAGACAACGCCCCCAAATTATTTTAAACATTTCACCCCAAGCAAAGCGAGGGTGACACTATCACCCAAGGGGGTACAGAAAATGAGAGCCAGAGTAAAAAGCGATGTTTGAAGAAAGGATAAAGAGAAGAACGGGGATCAGGACGTAGGCGTCGATTGACATTACATTTGAATATTTGAAGACTATTGCTATCCGTGAAGCAAGTAGGAGGAAGGGTGTTCCACTGTCGGGAAGTGCGGGAGAAGAAGCGGTTACATTTAACTGTATGACAATGAAAATGTTGAACTGAGATGACAAGATAGTAGCACCCGTAAATTCATGCAGTTGGAGTACCAGTGAAAGTAGCTCGTCAGAGCAGTTGCCATGAAAAAGTTTGTAGAAAAGATACAGGGAAGCCACAGCACGTCTGTGAGAAAGTAACTAGACGAAATGCCAGATCATGATCTATCATATTGCATATCCGTATCTGTATTTTGTCAAAGACCCCGAGATGAACAGCTTTAGATATTTAGATTTAACTAGCAGTAGAGCCCGGCGTAACAGTAAGAGATAGATCAAGTATCGACCATCATAAAGACTGACAAATACAATTGACAAAGATTATTGTTTAAGCTTGACGGACACGCATGTCTTAATTAGTTTTTTGTTTTGTTTTGTGTTTTTTGTTTTTTTTACGAATTGGTTAAACCCATACTCAGACAAAAACATTGTTATCAATCGTTATGATTCTACCGATTGAATAGAATTTTATTATAAACAATTGTCTTGTAAATGGAATTTTTAAAGCATTCTGAATGTAAAAATAAAGAATAAAGTGTGCACGACAGTAAGAAACACTTCCTGCCAAATAGAAAATGAAGTTTTGTTGAAATCGGTTGAAAAATGTAGGAAATTCGATCCCATATATAAACGAACACACACACACACACACACACACACACACACACACACACACAACTTGGGTTTTATAATAAGTAAGAATCACCGCAAAGTAATTTTACGTAGTCCTGTGAAGTTTTGTTGAAATCGGTTGAAAAATGTAGGAAATCCGATCCAATATATAAACGTACAGACACACACACACAATCTGCGTTTTATAACAAGTAAGATCTAGCATCCCTAAATATGTAACAGTAGCACTAGACCAGGTGTGGCAGCAATATTCAAAGTATAGGCGAATGGTAGATTTTTTTAGTCTTTTAGGCAAAACGATTAGTTTGGAAATTCCCATTGACCAACATCTTATGAAACAGATAACAGACAGATTTAGATTATCTCAATTTATCGTCAAATTTGGTATTTTTGTGGCAGTTGCATTCATTGTTTGTCAATTTATTAACGCTGAATATCAATCGTTATAATCTGAAGACAGAATATAACGATTGACATTGCATTTAAACTTTTGAATATTAAAGAAGTCTGGGAAGAAAGAAGCCTTAAGAGATTTCCACCGGGTAGAGGCGCGATAAAAGAAAATTGTTAGCATAGAACTTACGGTTACATCTTGCCATTTCAACTGTAAAATGACGAGACATTGCTGTTATTCTAGTACTGTTACTAAATTCATAGTCTAGGAAAAGGCACCATGAAAGTATTTATAGAAAAAGCATAGAGAAGCTATATTAAGGAAAGTAACTGAAGCCGAGATGCCAGGTCAGGATAGATAACATTGCAGATACTTCTTTATATTTTATCTAGACGTTTTAAATGCACAGCTAAAAACCAGCCCATATGTGACAGCAATATACAAAGCATAGACGAATGGTAGATTGTTTCAATCTTTTAGGCAAATCGGTGTCTTAAGGAGGTGACTGTTAGTTTAGAAATTCCCATGGAACAAGTAATAGTCAGATTTAAATTATCTCAGTTCATCGGCAAATTGGTATCTTAAGTGCGAACTAATAGCTACTACTTTTGAAATTTTCTCCGAAAGACACGGAACACGAGACATAATGAAAGAGCTGACATATATAAATTGCTCTGTATGTAAGCATATCAGAATTTTAACTGATAATAGTGGTTTTGAAGTTATCTAGGAAAGACACCGGACGTAACAAGTAATAGAATAAGAAGCGAAATATTTAAGGTTTAAATAGAGACCTAGACTGACTTTCTGGCCAGTTTTAACATTTGAGAACGATTTCCTGCCGACCAAAGAAATTGGTCTCTACCACATTTCCAAAAGTGTGTTGCATTCAGAAAACATTTGAGACACGAGGTGCGAACAATATCGCTGTAATAAAAGCCACAAACATTTAAAATCTATAATACACACCGATGGCAAAAGAATATGTTGTTATGGAGTGGTTTCACAGTGGAGACTTGTATTTGTACTAAGTCGGTCCTAAAATAGGTTCGACGTACAAAATGATAGGAACTTGATATAATAGGTAATGTCGCAGAGAAATCTAGTTGTGGTTGCTGATACTTTAATATCCGACTAACGATCGTCCGGCCTCGACTGACTGACCGACGATATTTAGTCACCCCAACCACGAGGGCATCATGTGGCACAAGGCCGGTTTAACGTAGGATCTCCGAGCCCGTGGGCTCGACCAAAAATATGCCCATTGAACACGTATAAACGGGTTCAGGATCGGTTTACCTGCCCGAAAGAGAATCCGCCCTTCGGCGTAGCCTCGTTCGGGTTCCTCCCCGCCCGAAGGCAGAGAGTTTAACCGATCAGCCAGTCGACTGACTGACCGGCCCCCTGAGCGACTCCTACTACTCCTACTTATTATAGGTGGGAGAGTCTATTAACAGTAGAATAGGTGTGTTCCATTATAACATATATGCAGGTCAGCATGTTGCAGATAGATTGTTACAGAACTTATCTAGTAGAATCCAAGTAGAAATGAGTTGTTTCCTCACCCCGTGACTTATAATCTCCTGCTTATAAAATACACCTTACTATTTACATTGGGACTCTTGTACTCGTCTTTGTTGCTGTCAGCACAACTTTTCACAGCTTTCATTAGGTATATATCGATCTGGTTATCTTACAGTCTACTCTGGTATATTAACCATTATTACTCTATATACTGTACAAAAAGTTTACCCTACCACTAAAAGTAACTAATATCTTTGAATTCTATATAGGTGTTGTCAAATCCTTCTATGGCAACAAAAAAACAACTTCGAGTGATATTAACAATAAGGATAATACAACTGAGAGACACTGAAAAGAAATACATTAGAAAAGGAAATGATTTTAATAATGAAGTATGCTAAAGCTTAAATTAACGGTTCGTTATAAACCTGTGGAAAGCCAAGGGCAAATCGATGGAAAGGTTGTGTTAATAACAAAAGGATGAGGATACTAATCCGAAAGTAAATAATCGTTTAAATAGCTCATATATCTATATATTTTTATCGTCTTTGAAGCTAGATCTATACCTGTTTTTTTTTCGTTATTGTGTCTGAGTATATATTTATATATTTTTTTTCTCTCGTTGAAACTCGGATCTACAGAGTGTGATGGATAAATTGCAAAATACGCAATAAAACCCCCAAAAAACACGGACACTGACATCTCATTTTAACAGGTATATTTACCAAAATTACACGGAATAACTTGAAATATTAAAGACTAAATCTATTCAATTAAATCGCCGTTGGCTTCAACCACGGTCCCCGACTACTTCAGGAACTAGTACTACTTTTCTGGATGATCTTCTGAAGGCAGCCCCAAATCCTTACCTTCAGTTCAGTGTTACCAGGGCTTTTTTTGGTTTATCTCTCAAATTCGTCCCACATAATAATCAAGGGTGGTTGCTTGTCTAGGGAGTTAGATGGACAGATTTAAGAGGTGATGTGGTCACAGAAATTGTCTGACAGGCTCTTCTACTTGTGTGACATAGAGTAGTGTCATCTTACCAGATATAGGTTCTTCCAGCAGCCAACTTCTTGGGCCAGGTCAGTACTATATCCTCAAGGCACTGTAGGCCACCGTATTGAATCTGAGGAAAATGAAAGAATGCAAAATGTCAGCATAACTAGAGATCACTTCAAACATTTTTGTAATCACCATTAGACTCATCCAACTCTTTCCGAATCCTATGCACAGTTCCCAGATTGACACTCTGGAATGTTCGTATTGAAAATTCTCGTGCGATGACTAAGCTGTGCTGCATTCCGTTTGAAAATTTCCGGCGGGTTAAATTGCATCATAGGGATCTTTTTCTCGCAGTCAGTGCCCAACTGACAATAGTGTGTAGTCGCTTAAATCAAAACCAACGCGCATGTACGAAATTAAAAATAGAAAATGGTGACAATTTACCCATCGCACTCTATACGTTTAATTTAACTCTAGTGTAAAACGAATTTATTTCTAGTTTGTGATAAAAATTAAGGGCTGACAGGTTTTCAAATTAACATTAGACAAATATGAAGAGTGAGACAGACAGTACAGATAGATAGATAGATAGATAGATAGATAGATAGATACTATGACTGAGATACGAGATAGATAGATAGATAGATAGATAGATAGATAGATAGGATGAATGAAATGCGAGATAGATAGATAGATAGATACAGCGTGACTGAGAAACGAGATAGATAGTTTGACTGAAATACGAGTTAGATAGATAGATAGATAGATAGATAGATAGATAGATAGATAGATAGATAGTGTTTACTGATATACGATATATATATATATATATATATATAGATAGATAGATAGTATGACTGACATTTGAGATAGATAGTGTGACTGAGATACGAGATAGAGAGATAGATTCATACAGAGATAGATAGTGTGACTGAGATGCGAGATAGATAGATAGATAGATAGATAGATAGATAGATAGATAGATAGATAATTCTCTTGGGTTAGGTGAAAAGCAGTGTATTATGAAACCAATGTCCGTTAACAAGCATATGACTTCTGAGGCTGATGTCAGATATGAAAATCCAGTTGCAGATTAGGAATGGCAAAACCTTTGGTGGTTACAGCTTATCATTTCTTGTGCCTCTTCTATCTCATCTTGAGTGTCTACATACCACAATTTAATACTTGGAAATACAGCTTGCGGTACTTAAAAGAGGCAGAATCAGAAGTCACGAATTAATCTAGAAGTACACAGCACAAAATCACATCAGTGTTATTATAACTGATTGATTCGTGTTTTATGGCTTATGAAGACTTTGAAGGTTATTACAAGGCAGAAAATATTTTTAGATTGTAAGAATATCTTTGACGAGGTAGTTTAGTGATACAAGTCTTACTAATCACTAAGATAATAATAGTTTAGTGATACAAGTCTTACTAATTAATCCAACAGATATGCGATTATGCGTACCTAATCAGAATTTGATAAATCACACATGTCAATATAGCTGTAAAGCGGTGGATCAAATCTATATTACCACAAATTTCGAAACTGCTCCTCCACTTTATGGCCACGGCAATTTCTAGACATTATAATTCTAGACAATTGGGGTTGATATGCAGTGAAACAAAAAAACCAAAAAAAAACAAAACAAAACCAAACTTATCAAATCTTTGTAGATTATTAAAGTCAGAAACATTTTTTAAATTGTCAGAATATTATTTGTTTTTCTTGTCAGGGGAGATTATAATAGTTGAATGAGATAAGTCTTACTATTGAACCCATAGCTGGAGGGAGAAGGTGTGAATTCATAACTTTGCCAGGGGTGCTTGCGTGCAACGAACCTAGCGACAAATGGAACTCGTCTCTCCGATTAGGAATTATCTATTACACCACCCGCACATCCAAGCTTACAACACATGGTATTCCCGAGCTGTTGCTCATCTAGGTACTGACCAGAGTCGACGTTGCTTAACTTCGATGATGATATCGGAACTCGACTCACTGATTAAGAATTCCGAGCCATTATCCTTTACACCACCCGCACATCCAAGCTTACAACACATGGTATTCCCGAGCGGTTGCCCATCTAGGTACTGACCAGAGTCGACGTTGCTTAACTTCGGTGATCGTACGGGAACTCGACTCATTGATTAACAATTCCGAGCCATTATCCATTACACCACCCGCACATCCAAGCTTACAACACATGGTACTCGCAAACCGTCAACAATCTCGGTGCTGACCAGGTACTACAAAGCTTAACTTCGGGGCTTCAAAAAGAAATGTTTCGAAGTCATGTGACCGTAGACACAAATCATATCTTTACATATCATTAAAACAAACAAACAAAAAAAGCCTTAGCATATAATAGTTTAGTGATAAAATCTTAATAGTTCCTAAGACAATAATATTCTCTTGGGTTAGGTGAAAGGCAGTGTATTATAGAACCAACGTCCGTTAAGAAGCATATGACTTCTGAGGCCGATGATTTTAACATTTTCGGCTAAAGATTTCAGGATCTTCTAACGTGGAGATCATTAGACGTAATGGCCGTGTCGTCTACATGAACTGGGAGAATCTGTTTAATTTTTTTTTAGAACAGTTTTGACCATCTATACCTGTGACCAGATCTTGATTTCTTGAACCACAGTCGTCCGCCATAAACGTTCTTTCCAGGCTAGCTCTTAGTTTTTGTTGTAAGTGGCATTGCATAATCAAGGGTAGTGATGAACAGAAATGTAGCCAATATGTGTATTTGTAAAACATCAGTGTATTCCAACTTATTTACCATCTGATGAACTGTCTCCTGGTTTCTTTTAAGTTTTGTTAACCTTTCTATGAATTGAATTAATTTTTAATCATTTCACGCTTAGGGATGACGCCACTAAGACGCAATGGGTTATGAGAGTATAAAAAAAAAAGATTCGAGTTACTGCAAAGAACAATATAAGAAATCGTTTCAAGAAAACAGATGACGACGGTTGAATTTGCATTTAAATTTTTCAACACTGCTAGTGGCAAGGTGCCAAGAAAGCGGAAGAGAATTCCACAGGTGAGAAGTGCGAGAAAATTAACTAATAGAATATAACTTACGGTTACATTATCTCTTTAAGCATTAAAACGATGACACATATTAGCCAGTCTAGTAGCGCCTTTAAATTCATGAGTCGTGGTGCCTAGGAGGAGAGCTCATTAGAATGACTATCATGAAAATATTTATTAAAAAAAAAGACTGAGGTCACATCGGTGGCAATGTGACTGAGGTAGAGATGCCAGTTAAGGACCGATAACATCACAGAGCTTTCTTTGGATTTTCTCGAGAATCCCGAGCGGCAAACCAGATATGGTAGCAATATTCAATGCACGTACCACTGGTAGATTTATAAATGTCCAGATGGATTCTGACGAAAAAAGAAATATGATAAGACACAGTGAACCAAGTTCTAGCAACTGATTCAATACAATCATTCCACTTCATGTCAGTAGAAAACCTGAGGCAATGGGTTGTTTTCAGGGAGGTTAGCATCAGCCGTACCGATGAAAGCGAAAATGGTTGTCTATGCTTATTCAAAGATACCGGTTTCCTTTTGCAGCCCTTTATATTTACAGGCCATTTCTTGCCCCAGTTAACAACTGATTGGACGTCAGTTTCGAGATCAGCTGACAGTTTTACATTTTCAGGTATATCAGATTTTCATTCTCTTTTTTTTCTTTTATTCACCTTTACAATACCCGAGGGCCACTCGAGGCAGAGTGTCACAGCTTCTGCCGATATATCTGGAAGATAACGGTTAACGCTAGATTTAAACAAGTTAAGACTGTAGCGATCGAGGAAGCAAACTGTTGGATGCTGGTACCACAAGGCGGTGGTCCGCAAAAAGCAGCAGCTGGAATTGATCTTACATCTGACCATTGGAATAAGAAGGAAATGAGGTGGTTCCCTGCAATGTGCGTGGCACAGCGGGTCTTAGCCGTGAAGGAACTAAAAATTGTAGTTCATCTGAAAACTGTCCATGGAAATAACGACAGGGCAGCTAGATGATTGCGATGTCTCGTAAGGAAGGAGTTGTACAGTCGAAATATAATTCGTCGCCTACATGGACGCGGAGACGTCGTTGAACCCTACCGAGACGAGAAAGTGAAGACTGGGTAGTCTCACCTACGTGAGATTAGAAAACAGGGGGATAAGTAAATAAGATATCAATCTCTTCGAAAGCTGATGTATGACGTATTTGGTAATGTTTTATACAATCGTTTAGTTAACACATGCATCTTAACATCGTGGCTGAGTGGTTATAATATTCTGATCATGTGACCCGGTTTCAAATCTAATCATGATTGATTTGTCAAGAAGAAAATTTCCTGATGTTATTTGTCTCGAATAGGACGATCCCTGCTAGAGGCACCGTTGGAAACTGCCTTAAAACCATACCACGGGTTGACACAACCCTAGTGAGTTATAAAAGGTAAACGGAACACTTCTTGTGTGCATGAAGTCGCAAGTCATCGGGATTTGGAGCGTGTTGGCGTTGTTGATTATGCTAGATAACACGCTCTCTCCCAGAAAGTGTAACTAAGGTCTGCTCAGCGTAGTTGCAGATTAAACCATAGTTTGGCTCTGTGGGTGTTGAAAAAACACAAATGTGCCTGAGCGAGCGTCTGCAATAGGGATAGGCTAGTCGCCCTAGTAGACGGATATCATCGAATACGAGTGGTCAGCTTTTACATACCGAAACTATTTTTTTTTTTAAGATTTTAAAACATTCATATAAATTATTCGAAATCAAAGCAGAAAAAGATTTCTTCGAAAATAAGGACGTTATTCCAATGCATATATCTCCCGTTTAGTCCGGAAATTTCCAATTGAGAAATTAGATTTCCTGGACAGAATTTAATAGTTTTGAGAAAGCCTCTGGGAATCATGTACGTCGCTGCCCTTCGTCAGATCGGAAATGGCGGATCAACTAATCTCCCATCCAGCAACGTCTTTAATTAATATTTCTCTGCAATTATAGATAACTCGGACGATAGTTTACTTGTGTTCTGATTGGCCATTAATTTATTTGCAATAAAATGATTAGTCAAAGAATTCATATGATGCGCGGAGTAATGGAACTGGTTGCTTAATTTTTATTGCTTTCATTTCACTGGAATTTATTATTTATATGTCTGTATATAACACAACACCAATTTGCAGGAATGAAGATTAGAGATCGTCATTTAAAATTCGAGGTTTGATTTTGACTGAAGTGAAACTCCTACTGATATTTTCTTATTTATCACATAATTTGAATAATCTTAAAATATATCTAATAAAAATTATATTATAATAATATTCTGATTATTTGTAATATGTTGATTTCTCTCTCTCTCTCTATATATATATATATATATAGGATTTTATAAGGAAAAGATATGCCTGACGATGAATAAAGGATTATTCGAAAGTACTTGCATTTTAAAAAAATATAAACTGGAAACAACAGACATCAGTTTTATAAATGAGGATCACGTCACTATATGTATTAACAGTATTTTAATGCATACATTATACACTACGAGTGATTATTTATTTGTATCTATCTATCTATCTATCTCTCTCTCTCTCTCTCTCTATATATATATATATATATATATATATATGTAATTGTCATCTGTTGTAATGGCTTATGTAAGCCGAAAGTTTAAATTGGATTAAAAAATATTGTATCAATATTGTGATTTTCTTTCTTCGTTTAATGATAATGTTATTAAGCTTATCAGACTTTATGAAAAGAAGTTACATAAAATAAATAGACAACACTTCTCTATATTATTTAATGAAACATGTATGAATATATATATATATATATATATATATATATATATATATAAAGACAATCCTAAGGAGCAAGGTAAACCGTTTAGGTGAAACCTAGGTAGGTTTACCTGTCTCCTTAGGATTATCTTAGGTTTTGCTCTACACCGTGTATTGAGTACTTTACGTAGTTACCTTTACTCTCGTTGGCGGTTTGTGGACTGAGTTTGAACTCTAGATGATTCTTTTCGCCTAAGTTTCATGTTCTTGCTTCTTTCTTTTTTTTATTCCTCATCTTTCCTTGGATACCAATTTGTTCTACAAATCGAACTATCCGAAGTTTTTACAAGACAATACCATTTTTATATATATATATATATATATATATATATATATATATATATATATATGCACATTTCATTGAATACGACAGACAAGGTGCTTGATTTAGTTTTTTTAAGCAATTTGTCGTGATCTTATTTTTTTTCCTTTTGGTAGATAAATTATATAAAAACTGTCCAATTGTTAATTTTATCCGAGCTCTTTCGTTTATATATTTAGCCATGTTCAGGGTTGAAATATAAAACGGTTAACAAAAAATAGTTTGTTGCATGTATGTATTTATATAATGTTTTCATTTTCAAAACATGGTCAAGATATTGTGTCCATGTTCATAGTTAATATTATTAAGTGCTGCTTTTTTTTTTTGCTTTTCTTAATAAGGCTTCCATTATTTTTATCCTTTCTTTGCATGTAGATGATGCTGTTATATTTGTGTTGTTAACAAGTATATTATGAATAGTGTCCGGTAGGTCTCTCTGGGTATTTAAATGAGACCTAATTGAAAAAGTAAAAACTGAATAATGAAAATAATGAAAAAGTAAACTCTCTTTCTTAGATGTTTACGTCTATTTTAGTAATAATAGGTTTAAAACTTTTGTTTATAAAAATAACAACTAATAAAGACTCTTGCCTTTTTAATTTCTCGAGTGAATACCCTATTAGGTATAAAATAGGAGTTATATATACATTTTCCTTGAGATATAACGTATTTCCTAATCATTTTTTTTACCGCACCGCAAATATTATATTCGCAAAACTGTTTTTTTCAAAATTCTCCAAAGGATTATTTTAAAATATGTCGTTTACAGCTTTCCATTTCATTACATTTTTCCTATATTTTTTTCTGTATATATATATATATATATATATATATATATATATATTTAGAACGACAAGTATTTATTGAAAAATGTTTGAACAAACTAACTATAAAAAAAATGATTTTTTTTTTGCCATCCTCTGCCAGCCGCAATGATGGAGAAACCATTACCTGGAAACATCGCCAATGAGACACGTTGCAAGAGCTACTCCGTTTTGTGAGGCTCGTTCCTTAATCGAGACGCCATCACGCCAATCTTCCGAAGGAAAGACATCGAAAGAGGGCCAATAACCCCAGAAGTCTCCACTCTACGTCCCGGGCGATGGACCCCGGCTCAACCACGGACCTGACCAAATTATCAGTCGAAAATATATGCGCCCAAGGCGCATCCCAAATCAACGACTTCCCCATTTTAAAAGGGAAAATGGTAATGCCATTCGGCTGCTTCCCATCACCACGACCGAGGTCTACGGGTTCGATTTAGGAAGGGAACCCAGCTGCATCCAAACCTCTTCTGATGATGTCTTTTATTGCTGCATGCCGTAGCAATGTGGCACCATGCATCCAGGCGATTTGAAAGATATATTTATAGATATATGATTTGCTTTTTTTTACGGTTTATCAACCATTTGAGGATTATTTAAGGCCGAAATGTATTTTAGGTTTTAAGAATAATTCTTTCTTTTTTTTTTTTACAAGAGGATTGAACCGCCATACATTCAGGCAATTTGGGAGAAAGAAAGAGAAAACGAAGAAGAGGAAAAGGAAAAAGTAATACGAGACGGGTCATAGGCGAACACACGCACACACACGGCTTAAGAGACGAGAATAAGAAAGAAAAGGGTTATTTTTTGATAGGTATCAAATGTCGAAAAGAGTTTCATTTCAATGAGAATGAGATTGAGTGGGCGAGGAGGTGTTGGTACGAGAAAATATCTAGGCCACCTGCGAACAAGCGTTGACCGATTTCCGCTTATCCGCGAAAATGGAATTGTGTTATCAAGAGATGTCACCAAATAAGAAGTCCACTTTGGAACGTTAGGTTTTGATAATTGACGAAACACAGGTGTGGCTTGGGGCCTTGGCTGGATATGGAAAATTAAAATCCCACACAAGTAGTTTCACTGGCTAAGTTTGTTTTTTTTTGATAGAATAGACTTTTGCCCTGCGATAATAAAATTTTGTTATCAAACACATGAACTGAAGGAAACTGACATATTTTTATTTCTGCTTTGGAGACGCCAAATTGGCGAAAACTTGGAGAAAATTCCTTGTTTGTCAAGCAGTTTATCGGTAATGCACTGGACAGCTGGATTATCTGACATGGATAAGGATAATCCAGCTGTCAGTGCATTACTGATCGTTCATGATAACGGCGATTTGAAAGAAAGAAAATAGAAAGAGGAGAGATCATTAATTTTATTTTTAGTTAAGCAAGGCATATTTCTTTTCCAAAACAAAGCCACGGGTTGTTCACGCCCGACTAAGACGTCATTGGCCAAGTGGTGATCACATGACGCACGAAGGAGGAGGAAGATACCCTACCAAGGCCTCATTGGCCGAGAGTGGTCACGTGACGCCCGAAGAAAACAGTCGACGCCCTATCAGAGTATAAGTATGAGAAGCCGCTACGAAGAAGTGGGGAGGCAGTTCACGCCCCTCAGAAGCATGGTGAGAAAGTGGGAGTGAGAAAAGAGTTACCAAAAATGGAAAAGAGTGGAAAATCCCTAACCAGAAATAAGAAGGGTGGATATGTATTTAGAATTATCGACGCCAACAGACCCACCCCGGTTTTTACGGCGTCAATAAAAACGAAGCCCCACCAGACAGAAATCAGTTCGTCGGACTCTGGCAGGCAGAGTTAGTTTAGTTCGCGCCCCGGCGGCAGAGATGAGTGCCCAGTAGTTCGCGCCCCGACGGCAGAGATGAGTGCCCAGAAGTTCAGCCCCGGACGGCAGAGATGAGTGCCCAGAAGTTCAGCCCCGGACGGCAGAGATGAGTGCCCAGAAGTTCGTTCGACCCAGGCGGGCAGAGAAGAGTTCGTTTGGCCCTGAGTGCCGAGTTCGCGCCCCGACGGCAGAGATGAGTGCCCAGCAGTTCGCGCACCGACGGTTGAGATGTTAGATCAAGATAGCTGACCAAGATTCACGCAAAATTTTGGACTCTTCTTCAACCAAGAACAAATAGTTTGAAGAGCGACTTAGAACCAGACCACAGAAATAAGTTTTTCGACTTTCGTCCAAAGACACACCGAAACACCAATTTCTTGAAGCGTTAAAATTTGCCTAGGGAAAGCGACGTGCCACAATCCACAGAACGGGTCGGGAGATAGATGCAGTCCTATGTACCGAACAACTAGACAAAAAGTTTGTTACCTTTTTTTCTTTGATACTTTGAATTTACGGTGTTTAACCCCTGTTTGATCTCGTCTGTCTAAGATCAATTCACAACGTGGGTAGGCAGACTGGAGATCAGTGCAGTTACCTTGGTAACCAGGCGTTGGAAGCAGGTTGGGAACGGCGAGGCTGATATCAAATCTAACCAGATTCTACCCGAATCACCAAAGGGTTAGAACGTCACGATTGGAGCAGCGACACCCGGACGGAGCAGCGAGGAGCGAACAGCTGGCGCCGCGGCGAAGACGTCAATTGGTGCTGTTTAGGAACGTCACATCTGGTGTCGTGACCAGGATAGGACCCTGGAACGACCACGTCACAACTGGCGCCGTGGTAGATCAGGATAGAACGTCACAGTTGGCGCTGCGACCGGGGGACGACATCACAACTGGTGCCGAGACCAGGATCAGAGCCTGGGGCAGACACGTCACGTCACAGAAAGCGACCGGCACTACGATGACAGGAGAGAGGATACAAACCAAATTCATCGATGGAGGCTCCACATCTGCATCTCTGACGCTCACATATTTTGAGTCCAAGACGGATCCCGACTCCGACTCGAGTGCACTCATCATCTAGAAGGGTACCGGTAGATGAAGAGGGCACCGCGTTGAACCAGGCGCCACTACTCGGTTATGAAGCAGATAGTAGACAGGTGAGACGAGGCGAGGCTGATCCAGAGAGTGCTTCAAATTAGTAAAATTGGCCTCGCATGTTATTTTATCCCAGCTTTTTTTGTTTTGACGTGTCTAGTGGGATAGAAAGTCATTCTTCGGCACAGACGCTCCAAGCTTCTTCGAAAGAAATACCCAAGAGACACTGAGACGATTCACCGAGTATCCCATCAATTAATTCGCGAATGGAAGTAAGTAAAGAAATATATGCTCCGAAACTCAAAAGGAGCTTTGCCTGCCTCCAGCCTGTGTCTTCGAAATTAACGTGGCAAATTATCTCCGCGCATCTCTTAATTGTGATATCTATCTCGTTTAAGAAATATTCGAGGTAACAAGGGGCACTTCGGAGAGTGTAGAGGAATCTAGGTAGCGAAAAACTGTTCTTCAAGAAGAAGAGGGCTGGGTGTGCATCAATTAATTGCAATTTCTTAGTCATTCTTGTTAGAATGACATGCTTAGTATTCAAACACTCTCGAATGGCCATTGGAAAGACTGGGGAACCAAGAATGTATAGTTCCTTTTTAGATGTTATTTTTATATCCTCAAGGATGAGTCTGATATCCACGATAGCACTCTCGAAATCATCTGCCTTATAATTCAAGTTTATTATCTCTGACTTGGACGAGTTAATCTCAATTACAAGCAGAGATAAAGCAAGAATAACTCGTCAGAGGTCAACAGCTACGGCGTCGACGAATCTTCCTAGGCCCCCATCGTCAAGATACCATATATTGAAAGGAGGCGATGGAACGAGCTACCCCGTCAATAGCTATCGCAAATAGTAGCGGACCAAGTGGATCACCTTGCTGGTTTCTGGTAGCAGAAGAGATAATATTATCGATGGCGATTAACATACTTGGATGGCTATACGAAAAATGGGCCCGTTTAAATATGAAAGGTGTCCGTTGATGGCAAACTTTCAGGGTATAATCCCTTCTGATGCTCTTGAAAGCATTTGTCATATCCAATTTTAATAAGATAAGTGGGGGTGGAAACAGGTGATGTATTCTCGAAATATGATCTTGTGACATGAACCGCGGCTTCACACCCGCCCTGTATGCCTACCCCGAGCTGGAGAGGTCGCAATTCGTGCCCTATCTCCTTCACAACAACTCTACAAGTAATTGTTGCCGTGAGTCGAAGAAAGATGTTACCAACAACGGTAGGGCAGATACCTCCGTCTTTTTTTAAAGACGTTAAGTTGGCTGAATATATTAAGTGGCGAGCATGTTGGTGTATCTCAGCTCGGAGAAGGGTATTAATGAGAGCAGTTTTGGATTTTTTCAAATGCTCACCAGCTTTAGCTGTGTGGGCAGAAATGTGACCAGGTCGAAGGCCGTCTACACCTCCACTACTGCTTCCCGAGAAGGACTTCAGAGCGGCAACCATTGCTTCCTTTGAGATTTCAATATTTGAATCATTGTTTTCCATCTGAACAAATCTGACATCTGATGGTGGCGCAGGATGTTTCCGATCGAGAGCTGTGAGAACTTCTGGTGTAGTAGCTAGTATAGTATCGGATGAGGCTAATACTCTAACTGCAGCTGAGACATCACCCTCGATCAAATTAGCATTGACGAGGGCACGGAGTCTCTTAGAATCATCGACTGTAGATGTAGAATGAAATCTATTAGGATTAGAGAGATTAGAAAATTTGGTGGCATTTATATAGACGAATTGAATAAAGAACTGTTATTTTTCGTAATAGATGAAACAGATAATTTAGGGTCTTTATTGCAAGTAATGCCGTGCACAAGTGTTGCAAAGAGAATATGTGATCCCAGTCAAGCGAGCTGTTCAAGTTAAGTGCCCGGTCTATGGCAGTAGCCAAGGAATCGTCTACAGGGATTCTGATAGATTTAAGGATTTTCAAAAGAACCTTCGGGAATTGCCCGTTGACCTCAAAATTTCACTGGTATCTGGAGACAGACAATGTGTACAACTCTAAACAACCAGAGACGATGAAACATTTCTAGTCATTCCCACGCAAGATGAATGAAAAGACCGTTGACAATTTGAACAACTTTTGATTCTTTTACGCTTATTAATGCTGCCACAAGAAAGCAACGCTCAGATTCCAGCAAAAAGAAGTCTAAAAGAGATTTTTCTTTTTCCTTCTTTTTCCTCAAATTAATGTAAAACTTTGTTTCTGTTAATTCTTGTAATTTCCGCTTGACATTAATTTCATTTTTCCCTTGCAATCAAATCTTCGAAAAAAAATACTGACTTGAATTACAAATCCTTTACAATAATGTTTAAAGTTTCCAACTATTAATTCAATAATGATATCCCATTTTCTATTCAAAATCGTATTTACCTTAGTTAATATTGAACTCGACATTTTTGCATTCATAAAAATCTGTTGAAATCAGCAGAGTTTGAAAAACATGTCTTCTCTCTTCTTTCCATATTAGGCTTCTTCTGTCTAAGATACCTAATAGCAACGACGAGAATAGAAACAGAAAACAATAGCATTAATATTTTTTTTATAAAAATCAAATGAATGAAAATGACAAACAAGATGAATTTAGAATTAAGAATATTATGAAAAATACACAAAACGTGTTGACAATAGCAAAAAAATAATAAAAATAGATTAATTATTTATTACAAAAAGTTTAAAACAATTAACCTTGTAGTTAAAAATAATAATTCACCACTTAGAACAAATAAAAAATATGACAAATATTATTTACGAACTTAAATGTCCATTAAGGGATTGTATTCCTGATCAATCAAAATTCCTAAATAATTTTTATAGGCCATACTACAAGTTTGACACGAGGACTCCTACACTGACCATAGCTCAATTAGGTCTCATTTAAATACCTATGAAGACCTACCGGACCCTATTTGTAACAACACATATATAAAAAAAATCATATGCACAAAAAAAAATGCTAAAAGCAATGAAAGCATTATTAATAAAAACTAAAATACGACACTTAATATCAAATATGAACATGGACACAATATCTTGACCGTGTTTTTGGAAATGAAAACATTATGGAAATACATACATACAACAAACTATTTCTTTTTAATAGTTAGTATAATTCAAGCTTGAAAATAGCTAAATGTATAAACGAAAGCACTTGGACAAAAATAACAGTTGGACAATTTTTATATAATTTATTATCCGAAAAGAAAATAAATTATTAGATCACAGGAGAAATTGTATAAAAATAAAAATAAATAAATCAAAGTGCCTTGTGTGTCGTATTCAATGAAATGTGCATGAAAGAAGGATTGCCTTCTAAATACACACACACACACATATATATATATATATATATATATAAAATGTACGATTAAATACATTATAAACATTATGCCTGCTCATTTTTTAGCGTAATCCTTTCATATTCACGAATAGTTTTACTTGTATTACAATCAAATGATGCAAGAAATTCAGTGTAACAGTGAAAAACTATTATTTCCCAAGTACTTTCCATGTCTTTCTGAGATCATCACCTTTCCAATTGACTTATATACGAACGGATTTCTTGCACTTACTGAATATATATATATATATATATATATATATATATATATATATGTGTGTGTGTGTGTGTGCGTTTGCATGTATATGTGTTTATATAGATAGATAAGTAGACAGATGGACAGATAGATAGAACAATATAAAATACATATAAACGAAAAATAAAAAAAATACAAAGATTCATGGGCCTTCGTAATCTCATCAGTTAATCCGATTTTCTGGAGAGACATATTCCAGTGATGTTGAGATAGGAATTTTTATCTCGCCAGAGATCAATTGCTTATTTTCAAGACGAACTGCTTAACAATTCCAATCTAAAATATTCATCCTCTTCATATTCAATTATTTAGAGGAAAGTTCAATGCGTACTCACCCTTCCCAGGAGCCGCTACGTTGTGGAACGGCTTTCCAAAAGGATTCCCTCTGATTACGACAGTCATAAACCGCTGCAACTTTTGGTTAACGGTTTGCTATGCTAAATATCCTCATAACCTTCGGCCTTACAGTTCATTCAGGAACCGTCTCACTTCTGTGGGTGTTTTGTTTTGTTTTGTTTTGTTTTTTTTACAGCAATGGGTTATTAAATAGCGATAAGTTTTTATTCCTGGTAATATTCTTTCCAAAAATGTATTCCTAGTAATATTTTTTTTTTCCTTCAAAAAATGTAGGTGGTAATATTTTTTCATCACAAATATATTTCTGGTAATTTTTTTCCTTCTAAAATGTATTTCTGGAAACATTTTTTCCCTTCAAAAATATATTGTTGATAATATATTTTGATCAAAAATGTATTTCTGGTAATATATTTTCCTTCAAACATGTATTGCTGGTAATACTTTTTCATCAAAAATCTATTGCTGACAATATTTTATTCCTTTAAAAATGTATTGCTGGTAATATCTTTCCATAAAAAATGTATTGCTAGTAATATTTTTTCCCTTCAAAAATATATTGTCAAGTAATAGTTTTTCATCAAAAATGTTTTGCTGGTCATATTTTTTTGCTTCAAAAATGTTTTGCTGGTAATATTTTTTCAGCAAAAATGTATCGCGGGTAATATTTTCTTTTTCAAAAATGTATGACTGGCAATATTTTTTCCCTTCAAAAATATGTTGCTAGTAATATTTTTTTTCTTTAAAAATGTATTACTGGAAATATTTTTTCCTTCAAAAATTATATTGCTGGTAATATTTTTTTATAAAAGATATATTACTCGTAATATTTTTTCTTTAAAATATGTATTGCTGGCAATTTTTTTTCTTTTAAAAATGTATTGCTGGTAATATTTTTTTCTTCAAATATGTATTTCTGGTAAATGTTTTGTATGTAATATTTTTTTCATTAAAAATGTATTGCTGGTAATATTTTTTTTTTTCTTCAAATATGTATTTCTGGTAAATGTTTTGTATGTAATATTTTTTTCATTAAAAATGTATTGCTGGTAATATTTTTCCTTAAAAAACTTATTGCTGACAATATTTTTTCCCTTCAAAAATATAAAGCTGGTAATATTTTCTTCCTTCAAAAATGTGTTGACGGCCATATTTTTTCCCTTCAAAAATATATTGGTAGTAATATTTTTCCATCAAAATTATATCGCTGGCAATATTTTTTTTCTTCAAAATGTATTGCTGGCAGTATTATTTTCCCTTCAAAAATAAATTGCTGGTAATATTTTTTCATAAAAAAATGTTTTGTATGTAATAATTTTTTCATCAAAAATGTATTGCTGGGAATATTTTTTCTTTCAAAAATGTATTGCTGTGAATATTTTTTCCTTCAAAAATGTATTGCTGTGAATATTTTTTCCTTCAAAAATGTATTGCTAAGAATATTTTTTCCTTCAAAAATGTATTGCTGGGAATATTTTTTCCCTTAAAGAAATATATTGCTGGTAATTTTTTTTCCTTCAAAAATGTACTGCTGGTAATATTTTTTCATCAAAAATGTATTGCTGGGAATTTTTTTCCCTTCAAAAATATATTTCTATTAATATTTTTCATCAAAAATGTATTGCCAGTAATATTTTTTTGTTCAAAAATGTATTGCTGACATTAAAATTGCCTTACAGATATGTTGTTGGTATTAAAACCTATTTTTATACATTCTTAAGGTTTGACCCCTGTTTGGGGGTTAGGGTTTTGCCCATAGTTGGAGCCCTAACAGGTGCAACCACCCCAGGTCAAGGTGAACCTAGAAACATCAGCAATTCAGAGGTGGTTCCGCAAAACCTCCTGATCAGAGGCCTTGCTGTCGGATGTAGTTTATCGTCTTACCCAGTAAACGGGTGTAGTTTATCGTCATACCCAAGTCGATCTGTGGCTGTTGGTTCTTCTATATAATATGTAAATGAAAATACAATGTCTGAATTTATCTGAAACAGGGTTCTATTGTCCGTTCTGTATGAGCGTTTAGAAATAAGAAGAAAGGAAAAGATAATTTTCCTCGCTTCTATGTAATTAATTTCTTATGCTGGCCAGTTTTCAGATTCGTGTCATTCAGTTTTCCATTTTTAAAACACCACTGTACAAGTTTCACCAAACGTTTCCTGCTTATCAGTACTCACACGCAGTATCCAAGAGAGACCCTGAAAAAAAAAATCTATTCTCGTCATTGTTCTACACGCTCGCCTCGGGCCATACTCACACACGGACGCATTTTTGGTGTTTGTTGGCCTTTCAGTCTCGACTCACCTGTTTTTGATTCAATTTTAGCTGGAGTTTCGTGAAAAATTCAGAAATGACCAGCCAGCGATAGTAGAATTGGTCTTTCTTGTTTGCTTCAAATTAGTGTCGAAAAGTTAATCTCTTCGTGTGTTCCTGAGGCTTTTGTTTCGCAATTGAATAATCCATTCCGATACAAATATTGGATCGAAGTTTTAAATCCC